TCCCAGGTTTGGTGACAGTTCCCCTTGGACTTTAGACTTTGAAATCTCATGGCCAGAGATTGTGTTAGTTAGTCTGGCCCTGGCCCTGGCCTGTACTCGTGTTTTTAATGAGCGACCGTCTGGCTGCCGTGGCCAATTTGTTTCGTTACAGAAAATCCACTGCATTGCAGCTGCGATGCCCAAAAGCTCTGGGAATGGCTACGGGATCATCGCAAATGGTCCCTGTCGATGGCCAATGGCGGCAGCAACGGCGGCGGCGGCATCATCGGCATCGGCGGTGGCGATGCCATCAATTATCTGAGGTGCGAACACCCCACGGAGCTGCGAGGCAAGGTGTTTGGCCGCATGGAGCCGCAGCAGTTCTGCGATGCGCCGCTAATACCCAAAATGGCCATACAGGATATCCAGCCCTATTCGGTGGTCGTCTCCTGGCAGAGTCGCGACCATTTGGGCCTCACTGGTTTCGAAATTGTTTACCATGCCACCGGGGATGGTCTCGTTGCCGGACCAACGGACCGTGACCGCGACCGCGAACGGGATGGCGATGCCAATGGCAATGGCAAATGGTGACAGGGAGCAGGACCCTGACCGGGACATGGACCTCGACCGGGAGCGACATCAAGAGCAGCAGCAGCAGCAGCAGGAGAGGAATAGGGAAAGGGAGAGGAACCGTGATGAGCATGAACGGGACAGGGACAGGGAGCGTTTCCCCCTGGCCACGGATGAGGTGAGTTCTAGTTGGAGTTGGAGTTGGACTCGGAGTTTGAGTTTACCATTTCCCATCGCCGACTGTCAAATTTCAAAGTAATTTCATGGCCGGAACTGTGGGCCCGTCCCGTGTTCCGTGTTCCGTGGCCCGTGTCCTGATATCCTCGTAATTTTCTTTTAATAAACGCTTAATCAACGGGCAGGACAGGGCAGGAAGCGACAGGACTAGAGCCCATAGCCCATAGCCATAGCCATGGCCATGGCTGTGGGGCCTTCGATTGGCGATAAAGTGCACAACATTCTGCACACAAAATTTAATTTTGGCTCTCAGCACAGCAGGCACAGTGGGCCCAAAAGCACAAAGTGCGGCCACAAGGGATGAACATTTTAATAGTAAAACATATAATTGAGTTACACGGCTAGCTGCCCCATACATGAGTTTTCATGTCTTGCCGAACTACTGTTTTGAGGTTAATGCAATTGATTAGCCTTGCGTCTGGTAAGGTTAGGTTAGGTTGGGGCCTCACAGCAACCAGCACAGAAGTATCTAAATCGAATTATGGGCAACATTTCGCAACAAGAAGCATAATAATAACAATATAAATTACTGAGGCCAAGTATTTTGAGCTATTCAACTGTGGAGACTGATGTCGAATGGTTGCCCATATCCCATTCAACTTTCGATGCCTTGAGCTCGTTTGTACCACTGTACCCAGGGGTATGGCAAATGCCAGTGAGAGGGAGAGGACAGGCCGCAGGGAATATTTTTAATAAAGCGACACGGGCATCGACGATACTGATGACGATGATGGGAATGGGAATGGGTATGCAGATGGAGATGGGCATGGGACATGGGGAATGGCTGATGCGAATGACAATAACAATCTTAAAACTTGCTTAATTTATTCAATAGATACACGGAAAGCGGCTGAACGGCACGGCCAGCTCCACAAAGCTGACACGACTGAGCCCCAACACGCGCTATCACATCTGTGTCATCGGGAGCGGTAATTGGCTCTCGGAGCCGCTGGCCAATGCGCTGCAGAGGCTCCACTCGAACGACTCGTCGCGGACCGACGAGGACCTGCCCTTGGCTGCCGTCTCCGTGCCCTTGCCGGAGTCGTACTCCCCGTATGGACACGAGCAACAACAGTTGCAGCAGCAGCTGCAGCAGGAGTCGCTGATGGAGAACAGCATTGTGACGGATCATGTGCTGCACGAGGTGCTGAAGAACTCGCACATCTCGGCCTGCACCGATGTGCAGACCCTCGACTCCACACCCAGCCTGATCACCGACGAGAACGGGCTGTCCAGCAACGGGTTCATCCACTCGATACTCACGCGGCGTCTGGGCCTGATTGTCGGCTGCTGCCTGGGCATCATCGTCTTCATCGTGATGATCTCCGTGCTCAGCTACGTGAAGCTCAAGAAGCAGCGCATCGAGAACGCCAAGCGGCAGGCGGCTCTGCCGCCCGAGTACATCTCCTACCGGCACTTCTCCATCCCGAACGAGGAGCTCACCCGCACGGCGGTCGGCGGTGGCGGTGGCAGTGGCAGTGGAGGTCCGGCTGCCGGTTCAGGCTCCGCCTCCGTCTCGGCTGCCGTCTCGGGGGCCACGTCCAGTGCCACGCACATGTCCAGTGTGCCCAGCGGCATCAGCGCCCACATCAGCGGCACCAGCCTGAGCACTGGCACCGGCACCGGAACGACGACGACCACGGCCACCACACCCATTGGCGGAGTGCCCCTGCCCATGGCCAAGGCGGGCAGCCCCATTGCGGCCCTTGGGGGCGGACTCGTTGTGGAGCCGCAGGTGGTGGCAGCTGCAGGCGGACACCACAGCCATCATGGACACCATGGACACCAACAGCAGCAGCAGCAGCAGGCGGCGCAGCAGCAGCATCGTCAGAACAACGGCGGCATTGCGGGATACATGGCAGCTGGAGTGGTGCTCAATACGAACCACCTGAGTGTGTGCTAGACGGCTCCAAAGAGTCCCGATTCCAGATGGGGCAGGCGCCAAAGGAGTGCAAGAATTTAGCTATATAAATCGAGAATGTTTTACCAAATGAATATGTAAAACCAATTGTTCTTCCTCACTCTCATTGATGTCCATTAAGTATTCCCCTGAATGATCCTCAATCGACGAACTCAATTCAAGAAAGAATCAAAAGAAATGCTTAGGATGCAACTGGGGATGCATCCAGAAATCATACAGAGATAAGAAGGCTTAGCATAAGCGAAGATCAGAGATGGAGTCAAGCGATTCTCAAGAATAGGGAAACAGAAACAGAATAGAGAAACTCCCCAAAAACACACACAAATGAATGCCACATAAAAAAGAGCTAAAGGAGAGCAGTAAAGGCAAATGGAGTTGGAGAGGGCAGAGAGAGAGGGAGAGAGAATCTAGGTTAGTGATAATCATGAAGATGCGTTCAACGTTCGGTTAGTTATGACAATTGAAAGTAGAGCAATCCAAGCTATAAATGCAATGGAAATGCGGCGAGCAGCAAAATAGTTTTCAATGTAAATAAATGTGGAATCACAGCGAATGTCCCCCTTGCCCCACAAGGCCATTGGAGTTCGGAAAATATATGTAATCGGAGATACCATTTAAGATGGCAAAAATCAAACCAAATCCCAGAATTATCTATAAGAATATACACACACACACAAACAGCATGCATACATACATACATACATACACAAAAACATATACCATACATATATTTAATATATACATATATATAAATGTAATGGAAATACAGATTTTTTTTTTTAAACTAGATTTAGTGTATTGAGGGAAATGAGCAAAAAGCGTAGGTGTGTGCGAGTTCTTTTTTTTCTCAACTGTTTTTTTTTTTTGTCTAGCATCGCAATAAGTGGGAAAAGTACTAGAGAAATCAGAGAACAGAGAAGCTAGCATAAATAAAACAAAACAAAACTCAATATATATGACAAAACATATTAACTAATTAACTATAAAATAAACTAATTTAAGTGCAGTAGGGGGCCCCCTACTTCCCATCCCTCCCTTTGCCAGGCCTCGCAGTCCCTACTTTGTGTTCGTAGTGGCCAGTACTCAGAGAGTTGCAGGCACATGAATAGCACATAGTACTACGAGTACATCTATACTCCTTCTTGTTGAGTTTCTTCAGTTTATGGATTGTTTTCCAGTTTACTAACAAATTAAGCTTTAGTCGGGCACGGGAACGGTGTTGGTGGAGGCGGAGGCGGGGGGTGGGCACTTGGCCATGTGAAGTGAAGTGAAATGAACATCTTGATGGAATAACAAGAAGACAAGAAGCCAAGGTAAATGCTCAAGAATTTCTAGTAAATTAAGTGAAATTAAATCAAAAAGCCCAAGAAAATTCCAGAAATGTTGCTCTTCCCCTCCCCACCCCTCGCCCACACCCCCCATACACGGTGCAGTACACCCCCCAGAGATGGACAGGAGCTTCTGTTACAGTTGCTGAAATATGCTTTCGGGTATAGTGCAGCACTACTTGACTTGCAAGTGCACGTGTACCCACACCCGCCCTCTGGGTGCTGTTCCTTGGATGGGTGGCGGATGGGCGGTGGTTCTTGTGCTTTTCAAATATTTTAATATTGTTATATGCAAAACACAAGAGCAACGTCGGAGGCAACCACACAATAGCAACTATATGTAGGTACTACTAGGTATGCATGCATGAGCAACTTAAGAGCAAACACTAACAACAGCAACAGCAACAACAGCAAATACTCCTCGTAAAATGCAAATCAGAATCAAAAAATCGAACTTAAGAAAACAGCAAACAGCAAACAACAACAAAATAAATCATACTATTACAAGAAAGCTTTCCTTATGCTCTACAACGACACCAACAACAGCAACAAACAAAAAACAACAAGCAAAAATAAATGCCAGGCAGCAGGAGCAGCATTTGTCCTTTCTGCAGTTCAATTGTAGGGCATTCAAAGCAGAGTCAGAGTCAGCGGCACAGGCGATGGTAAAAGTAAAAGTAATATTTAAACAAACATACAACAAATACAATAAATGTAATTAACTGAAAACCAAATGAATATTGTACGGCAGCAAACACACACAAAGTAAAAATATTAATAAATGACAAGAAAACTTCAGCACAGGGTTTTTTATTTTCTGCACCAGCGGATGACCCCCTTTATCCTTTGGGATTGTAAAATTCAAAGTAAAACAAAAGACTATTCCATATTATCATGTTTCCCTGCAGTGTGTGTTTCGAGTGTGTGCTGGCATCCATTTGGTGTACGTCTCCGTGTACTTCGGGCTAGGCCAGCCTAACGACACTCTCCCCCTTCGGGACGCCTTCATACGAAGGCCGCTGCGGACTCTGGTCGAACTCCGGAAAGCATCCCACCAATGCCACAAGCACAGGCCCATTGGACTCCAAATATAGCTGCTCGGTGAAGTTGATGTACAGGTTCTGAGGCAATGCTGGAAAAGGCTCCCACAAATCGGCCACAACTTTCTCCTCGCTGTTGGTCTTCAGCCAGAGCTTAGCAGACGTTCCCTGCTCGAGCATAACGCTCGAGATGCGGACCGGCTTCATTACGAAGAATGTGTACGTTTCTTTTTCAGTCATGTACAACGTGGAAGGCATCGTTGCGTCTGCGCTATACTGAGAGTCCACCATTTTACTTTGTTACTGCAATGCATCACCGCGTGAATTAAGACAATATTCGACACCGAATTACGCTTCACTTACCTCAGAGCAGTGGAAAAAGGAAGTTAAAGTGCGAAACCCTCAAGCGAAATTTATGTTCAACCTTCAGCTAGCCTGACTTTTCAGCAATTGACGTTTCAAGCACCGATAGCCATAACAGCCCCATCGATATGTGTGTTCAATGTAAGCCTGGTGTCATCGCGCGGGGAAAAAAAAACTCCAAAAACACCCTTTTACTTTTGATTCTGGATCAGCTATCAGTAGACTGCAGTGCGGTATAGACAGCTCCCACTTACCCGCCCACAGCCCCCTCCACAGGACCACACCAATCTATGGAATGTACCGGGAATGTACAAACTGATTAATAATAAAATTAAAACATATTTCCCTTCTTCAAAGGGAGAACCTTGATGTCTATTGCACTGTAACTAAATTGGGAGCTAGTCGATAATTCCTGAGAATATATTGCATTTCAAACGTAAATTCCCTTGGTCACTTTCTTGCTTCTGAAACTCTGAGGCAGCCGTCAGACTTATCGACGATCGCAGTGTGCCATTCTGTGTGCTCCATTCCCTGTGTGTCGCTCCATTGGAGGGAGACATTATTCAGTCAGTCAGTCAGTCGGTGTGATAGTTCCCAGCGTATAACTTGTTTCTTATTTCTATTCCGGTGAAATATAAAAATGTTCAAACGATTGCGAAATAGAACGATTTTCATTGACACGGAGCTATCCGACGAAGGGGAGATCGCAGACCCACCAATCCCGATAGAATTGGTTACAAATAAACGCAAGAAACGCGCGGCTAAGCCCAAGCCATCGGGTTCTTCTTTCCGGCATGAGGGACCGCTCCACTACCATCCATGCCGTGTGCTCAACTGCCCCCAGTAAGTAGAACGAATTCATACTCAAGTGAACGCCACTCGTAAAAGGCACTGCAATCCCCACTCAGGGAGGAAAAGAGGGAGCTGCGAAGTGTGGGATCGCAAACCCATCCGGTGGGGTACTATGAACTTCCAAAGGCGAACTGGCCCTCCGATGCAGAGTCTCGCCTCCAGGTGGAACCCATAGTGCAGGATGAGTTGCCCCAGTCGGTAAGTAGTTGCACTCACACATATATATGCATGCACATATATATATATATATATACACAACATTCCTAAGACGATGCCGAACGCTGCCCCTGAGTTGCAATGGCCGAAGATTAAGCGGGAGATCCCTGAAGCCAGCCCTGAGCCGGTAAGTAGTTGCTCGCCTGTCAGTGTCAGGTACTGTCAACCGAATAAATATGCACTGATGTTGCAGCTCCAGATGGCCAGTGACGCTACGTCTATGGGTACTAGTCTAAGCTTCGGCGGAGGAGGCGGCGGAGGCGGCAGTCAGCTGCCTGAAAAGTCCACGGCGCCGTTGCGCAGCTCCAATCGGCTGGAGAAGGCAGTAGCCAGTCGACAGTGTCACCCCGCGTGTGTTCACACGGGCGGCAACGGGCAACGGGTGCCATTGTCGGCGGTGAAGATCCACGTTCGTGGCCTGCCTCTCTCTGCCAAACGGGAGCAGCTATCGGAGCTGTTTGGGCATTTTGGGGCACTTACGGCGGTGGAGTACCCGACAAACAGACACCCCAGGAATCCGATGGGTCGGGGCTACGCCTTTGTCCAGTTTGTCTGCCCCAACGCCTGTGCACTGGCAATAGAGCGAATGAACGGGGGCACCATAGGCGGACAGCGGATTCAGGTGGCTCCCTTCCAGGCCAGAATGCTTAGACAAGCCCTTCCGCTGCGAAGCTACAGTCGTCGTACCCGTTCCCGTTCTCGTTCCCGATCACCCAGGCGCAGTCACCGTTCCCGTTCCCGATCTCACAGGCGCAGTCACCGTTCCCGTTCCCGATCTCACAGGCGCAGTCACCGTTCCCGTTCCCGATCTCCCAGGCGCAGTCACCGTTCCCGTTCCCGATCCCCCAGGCGCAGTGCTCGTATACGTGCCCAAACTAGAAGGCGTCAGCCTGATGTTGCTCGCACACCCCCAAGGCCCAGCTATTCGCCCATCACACCACCAAGGCACAGTCGGGATCCGCGCACTTACCCAATCTCTTCGAGCGGTCCTCACTCCCCGCACTTGCCTGTGCGTGGTCCTGGAACCCCGACGCTGCCTAACCTGCAGCCCCTGTTCACGATCAAGCCGGAGCCCGTGAGCCCTCCCATGGAATTCCCCGAGTACCAGTAGGACAGGAGTCGCACTCAAGCTCATAAGAATCCCAATCAAGACAGGAATCGCCGTCATTCCATTACCCATACTCGCAATCGATCGCATACACCTCTTAGCACCTCTCGCACGTTAACTGGTCTCTTTTCTCCACGCGTTACAGAACATTGAGGAACCAGTCAATTTGTTCTATGATACTATTAACGACGCCCTTAATATATATGTTCCTGTTATCAAATCTGTTTCGCCAAAACCTGCCTGGTTCTCCAAGAATTTGTCCTATTTAAAGAATATAATAATAAAAAAAACTAGGCTCTATAAAAAGTATCAGAATACTGGATTAAAATTCATTCTGGCTATAATTATGATCCGATCTATTTCAGATTCGGCAATCTGGTAGATATGGGCATTCTCTACGATACTGCGTTTTTAGTTTTATCGTATCTTTAAAAATGTGCCTGCCACAGATATTCGTCTTTTGTGGGGCGGAAAGGGGCGGGGCGAAATTTTGAAATACACTTGTAGCAGTGTGATATCACATGAGCCTGGAAACCAAATTTGGTTCCTCTAGCTTTTATAGTCTCTGAGATTTAGGCGCTCAACAAGACGGACAGACAGACAGACAGAGAGACGGACGGACAGACATGGCTATATCGACTCGGCTATTGATGCTGATCAAGAACATATATACTTTATGGGGTCGGAAACGTTTCCTTCTCTGCGTTACACTCATCCACTTTTACCACAAATCGAATATACCCCTTAACTCTTTTTTGAGTACGGGTATAAAAATAATTAACAAGCGTTCCCCCAGCCAGTCATCGTCATCCGTTCTTTACGCAGCTACAGCTACGCATCCAGAAAAGGGATGGCTCATTTTAATCTGATAGAAGAACGAAACACAGAGATCTCCGTCCAAGGACTCATACAACCAGAAAGCAGAATTATTTACCATTATTTGTGAGCCCTTCAATGGGTCTATGTAAATGTTGTTAAATTCAATAAACAAAGACACTTCTGGGACGTAAGTTTGTCTGTGGAATGTTCAATGGAAATGCTAACCTCTTCGACGAACAGTTAATGCTATGGTCCCACGCACAGCCAATCGTAGACAGCTTTAGACAGCTGCAAAGAAAGGAATATTGGGAAACGGGCGACTACTTCTTAGTTGTACACTAGAAGTACATATGTAATATATATGTACATCCGAATAGGGGTGAATTTCAGGTGAGAGTTTGATCGGCGTTCACATTCGAAGAATCTGCCGCCTGCCTTCAATTGCATTTTATTTCCTTTTATTTATTTATTTATTTGTTTATATGGCATTTGCCGTTTCGCAGTATTTTTTGTTTTGTTTCACATTTTAATTAAATGGAAATTTCCGCTGTCTTGAGCACGTTTTCTCATCAACGGCATTAAATGCTATGCAGAATTTTAATTAGGCCCGCAGCACACCCACACCCACCCACGGGGTGTGGCATGGCACGGCACGCCAGATCAGACCAGACCAGGCCAGGCCAGGAAAGACAAGGCCAGTGTATATGCAACAGGATTTGTAGCACGATTGCAACTTAGGATGCCAGTGGCAGCGCGGCGGCGACGAAGGCGTAGGAAGGCGGAAGGAGTAGAAGTGGGAAGCAGCACATACAGGCAGACACTTTGAGATTTGGGCTTGCTTGCGTGTGGAGCGTGACTTGTGCCTCGTGCCGCGTGCCTGGTGCTCTATGCAGTGGAGGATTAAGCCCTGTTTACACTACCGAATGCAAAATGTTAAATAATGATACGATGAAGTGGAGCCGAGAAAGAGACACAGAAAGGGACAGAGAGAAAGAGGGTGATACAGTCGATTGGATATGTGCCCGGTCGGAGGCGCCATATGGCGTGCCACCAACGAATTTTAGGTTGACTCTCGACTTTCAAGTCCAAAATGCAAAGTGGGCCACTAAGCTGGGGCGTCTGTCCGTCGTCCGTCTGACTGTCTGTCTGCCTGTCTATTTGCCCAAGAAGACAACCGTCGGAGACGCTGTCGAATCTAGCTTACTGGTGCCACTCACAGTGGCAGTTGCAACAATAATGTAGTTGGCTGTAAGTACGGTAAGTAAGTTGTTTAATTAAAACAAAGTTTAATTGGCAAAATTTCCACTTTCCTCTTGCCTTGAGTGGAGTGTGCAGTGCGGAGTGGAGTGTGGAGTGGAGTGTGTGCTCTGCTCAAGACAATATCATCATCTAGTTATCCTGCTATCCTGCCATCCTGCTGCCTCCCAATTGGGTAAATGGTGCTGTGCTGCTGCGACCACAATTGGAGTTTCAGCCATCATCATCATCGTCATCATCTTCAACATCAATGGACGATGTCAAAAGTGTCTGTCTTGGGTAGGACTTTGGCTTAATTGCAGAACATGGACATGACACATCAGTTGATGTCCATTCGATTTGAGGGGAGTTAGGGAGTCGCCTTCGTTTTACTTTCCCCAAAGTCCGAGTGCGCCCAACAGTTGTAAATATGTCGCACTAATTGAAAATAATCAAATGGATCCCATTCGGCATAAAAAGACTTTTTTCAATTGGGAATATATCACAAAAGGGTTGAGGGTGAGGTTCCAAACAAAGGGAAAAGGCCGGCAGCAATCAATGGATAACACACACACACACAGATGGATATTGGATATCTGTTTGGATGGACACCGCACATATCTCTTCATTAAATACCTCAGCGAAAACACACAGCCATGGAACCATCGAACGCAACCAAATTGCTGGAATCAGAGCCGCATAACTCGACAACAGCTTCGGCCATATGTATATGGATATATGTAGCTATAGCTATGCCACAACAAAATGGTGAGGCTAAAAACGCGAAACATATTTCTCACATGAACACCGCAAAACTATTGAAAATTACTATAAACAGCATTGCCCAAAAACGTATGGACAGTGGACAGTGGACAGCGGACATGGCCATGGACATAGCCAACCAAAGCTAACAGAAAATATTTTTTATGATATGAGTAGCCACGGCAGTCTGCTGACCAATATACCGCTGAAACTACCGCACGACACGATTCGATTCGATTCGATTCGATTTATGGGCGTCGATTTGTGGGCAGTTTCTTTATGTACATACATACATATATATTCGCACAATATGTGCACACACCCGTATATGTTGTATATATTGTGTATATTGTGCTGGTTGTTGCCAACACAACACACCCAGAAAAAAGAAGAAGAAAGAATCAAACAACAACAAATAAAAAAGAGGAAAAGCTGAGCGAAAAGTTTTTCCATTAAATCAATGAAGCGCACAAAATATTCGCACCAAAGCAGAGGCGACGAAAAGGAGTCGAAAATTGGCCAACTTTTGATTTGCGAGGATTGCCCGCGGCGACTTTACCTTCTTCAGACGAACATAAGCCCGGCACCAAAACAAAGGGGAATGTGCCTTAAAAGATCATTAAAAAAAAAGAACAGGATTGGAATCACTTTTGGCATACCCGTTCACTTGTCGCTGAAACAGATAAGACAGATAAGTTGGATAGGTTTTCCATAGCCAATTTCCCTTAGTATATAGTCTGTCCCGCCATGGCACTGTTTCTGCATGTACTCTATCTGCCATCCAAAATTTGTACCCGACCCGCCTTATCACCTCTCCATCAAGCCGCATTTCAAGTGTCATTCCGTTTGTTATACACACACACACACACACACACATATGTACATATTTTTATGCCTGATGACAGCTCAATTTTTTGCAGAGTTTTGGCACTTTTTTCTACGGGCCCAAAAAAAAAAAAGCCCCAAAAGTGCCTAACAAAAAAAAAAAAAAACCCCCCCTCCCGCGTGGCGGGGAGGGTCAACAAAAAATAGAACAAAAAGCCAATTTCGGTCTGACCAGCAGCAGGAGCAGAGTCGGTCGCGTGCAGCCGCAGGGAGCCAGGAGGCAGGACATATGTATGTATTTACGAGTGCGCTGAAAATGGCGAATCGCGTACAATAAATGGCCACATGACAAAACATTCGTTCCGTGTACAAATTTATGTCATAAATATCTTTTTGAAGGCCCCCGCGGACATTTGTTTGTGCCGCAGAGGTAAGGAATAGAACATACAGACGGTAGCATTCCCGTTTCCTTACTTTAATTTGATTTATTTATTTAAAAAAAGTGCATAGCCTAGGAGTGAATTTCTGTGAACGTTTTAAGCACTCTTCCACTTGATTTGCAGCTGCTCATCTCAATGGGGCTTATCGATAGCCGCGCCCCGAAAAAAAACCGTACAGTCCACACCGCGCTTATGTCTTCCCTAAGGGAGTGGAGTACCGGCAGGAGACATACTCAGCGGCAACGTACACATTCACGGAACAAAATGATACTCCAATACGATGCTTCTGGACATCAGGTACTTTTTGCAGCAGCAGCCTTGTGTTCAATGTGGCACTGCATTTCGCGTTTTTCTTCCCTCGGATCGCATCTATCCAACTAAACTTTGGTCCTGGGTTTGGCTCACACTCCTCCGCGCTCTTGCAGTGGAAACTGCAATGCCTGTCCGCCAGGATAAAAATGCTTTGAGCGCCATTTGTCTACGAAGATCATGAAACTATTACGTTTCTTGGGTGCCACACATATGGCACAGTCAATTCGCACTGGCTAGGAAGCAAATTTTTGTTTACGTCAGAAAACACATAATCAGGGCCATCAACCATTTTTGAGAGAAACAAAAAGATTTTGAAACTGTTCCTAATATCAAAATAAAGTTTCCCGTCGTTTATGTTTCATTCCGAAATAATATCAAAAGTTAGTCCTCTTTCGTCTAAAACTGAATTTCGTGATTGTAAAATTGTAAAATGGATAGTTTTGAAAATTATTACACCCGGATTTGCACAATCATCACATTGGAGTTAAGTTTAGTTTATTTAGCAGCAATTTCTATTTGCGCGTCGCGCGTTTCTTAGTCTTTTTAGTCGACGAACAGGTGCAATGTTGCAAAGCCATTTGAAGCAATAAAATATGCATGGAAAAACCAATATTTCGTCTCCTTTTTATACCCGTACTCGAAAAAGAGTTAAGGGGTATATTCGATTTGTGGTAAAAGTGGATGTGTGTAACGCAGAGAAGGAAACGTTTCCGACCCCATAAAGTATATATGTTCTTGATCAGCATCAATAGCCGAGTCGATATAGCCATGTCTGTCTGTCCGTCCGTCTGTCCGTCTTGTTTGACGCCTGGATCTCAGAGACTATAAAAGCTAGAGGAACCAAATTTGGTTTCCAGGCTCATGTGATATCACACTGCTACAAGTGTATTTCAAAATTTCGCCCCGCCCCTTTCCGCCCCACAAAAGACGAATATCTGTGGCAGGCACATTTTTAAAGATACGATAAAACTAAAAACGCAGTATCGTAGAGAATGCCCATATCTACCAGATTGCCGAATCTGAACTAGATCGGATCATAATTATAGCCAGAATGAATTTTAATCCAGTATTCTGATACTTTTTATAGAGCCTAGTTTTTTTTATTATTATATTCTTTAAATAGGACAAATTCTTGGCGAGCCAGGGAGGTTTTGACGAAACAGATTTTATAACAGGAACATATATATTAAGGGCGTCGTTAATAGTATAATAGAACAAATTGACTGTTTCGTCAATGTTCTGTAACGCGTGGAGAAAGGACCAGTTAACGTGCGAGAGGTGATGACTTAGCTCAGCAAAATTTGTTTTCCGAAAAGAATGAGATCGATTACGAGTATGGGTAATGGAATGACGGCGATTCCTATCTTGATTGGGATTCTTATGAGCTTGAGTGTGGCAATCAGCTACGGGATTGACTGTGACTCCTGTCCTACTGGTACTCGGGGAATTCCATCGGAGGGCTCTCGGGCTCCGGCTTGATCGTGAACAGAGGCTGCAGGTTAGGCAGCGTCGGGGTTCCAGGACCACGCACAGGCAAGTGCGGGGAGTGAGGACCGCTCGAAGGGAGATCTCGGGCCGCCGGCCCCAGGCAAGTGCGGGGAGTGAGGACGCTTGAGATTGGTGTAAGTGGGCGGATCAGCTGGGCCTTGGGGTGGGCGATAGCTGGGCCTTGGGGGTGCGATCATCAGGCTGACGCCTTATAGTTTGGGCACGTATACGAGCACTGCGCCTGGGGGATCGGGAACGGGTACGGTGACTGCGCCTGGGAGATCGGGAACGGGAACGGTGACTGCGCCTGGGAGATCGGGAACGGGAACGGTGACTGCGCCTGGGAGATCGGGAACGGGAACGGTGACTGCGCCTGGGAGATCGGGATCGGGAACGGGTACGACGACTGTAGCTTCGCATCGGAAGGGCTTGTCTAAGCATTCTGGCCTGGAAGGGAGCCACCTGAATCCGCTGTCCACCTATGGTGCCTCCGTTCATTCGCTCTATTGCCAGTGCACAGGCGTTGGGGCAGACAAACTGCACAAAGGCGTAACCCCGACCCATCGGATTCCTTGGATGTCTGTTAGTCGGGTACTCCACCGCCGTAAGTTCCCCAAAATGCCCAAAAAGCTCCGATAGCTGCTCCCGTTTCACGGAGAGAGGCAGGCCACGAATGTGGATCTTCACCGACGACAGTGGCACCCGTTTTCCGTTGCCGCCCATATGAACACACGAGGGGTGGCACTGTCGACTGGCAGCTGCCTTTTCCAGCCGATTGGAGTTCCGCAACGGCGCCGTGGACTTTTCAGGCAACTGACTGTCGCCTCCGCCGTCTCCTCCGCCGAAGCTTAGACTAGTAGCCATGGACGTAGCGTCGCTGGCCATCTGGAGCTGCGACATCAGTGCATGTTTATTCGGTTGACAGTACCTCACACTGACGGGCGAGCAACTACTTACCGGCTCAGGGCTGGCTTCAGGGATCTCCCTCTTAATCTTCGGCCATTGCAACTCAGGGGCAGCGCTCGGCAGCGTCTTAGGAATGTTTCGTATATATATATATGCATATATGTACATGATGTGCGTTCAACTACTTACCGACTCGACCAACTCATCCTGCTCCATGGGTTCCACCTGCATGCTGGACTCTGCATAATACCCCACCGGATGGGTTTGCGATCCAACACTTCGCAGCTCCCGCTTTTCCTCCCTGAGTGGGGATTGCAGTGCCTTTTACGACTGGCGTTCACTTGAGTATGAGTTTTACTTACTGGAGGCAGTTGAGCACACGGCATGGATGGTAGTGGAGGGGTCCCTCATGCCGGACGGAAGAACCCGAAGGCCTAGGCTTAGCCACGCATTTCTTGCGTTTATTTGTAACCACTTCTATCGGGATTAGTGGGTCCGCGATCTCCTCTTCCTCGAATGGCCCCGTTTCAATGAAAATGGTCCTATTTCGCAATATTTTGAACATTTTTATGTTTCACCGGAATAGAAATAAAAAACAAGTTATACGCTGGGAACTATCACACCGACTGACTGACTGAATAATGTCTCCAATGGAGCGACACACAAGGAATGGAGCACACAGAATGGCACACTTCGATCGTCGATAAATCTGACGGCTGGCTTCAGAAGCGAGAATGTGACCAAAGAAATTTACGTTTGAAATGCAATATATTCTCAGGAATTATCGACTAGCTCCCAATTTAGTTACAGTGTAGAGTAGAGTGAATATTTTGCAATCGTGCGTGGGGTAGAGTCCCCTGGTGCGATAGACATAAAGGTTCTCCCTTTGAAGAAGGGAAATATGTTTTAATTTTATTATTAATCAGTTTGTACATTCCCGGTACATTCCATAGATTGGTGTGGTCCTGTAGAGGGGGCTGTGGGTGGGTAAGTGGGAGCTGGGTGTTCCTCGGGTTCCTCGGGAATGCGGGTGCGAATGTCACCATCGGACGGACCTTGTTCCCGGTGCAGTATTTGGTGGCGTCGATTCTTTTAGGGTAGTCACCCGCACATATCGATGGTGCTGTTCTGGCTATCGGGGCTTGAAATGTCAATTGCTGAAAAGTCAGGCTAGCTGAAGGTTGAACATAAATTTGCAGGGGCATTCGCTTGAGGGTTTCGCACTTTAACTTCCTTTGTCCACTGCTCTGAGGTAAGTGAAGCGTGGCTCGGTGTCGAATATTGTCATAATACACGCGGTGATGCATTGCAGTAACCAATCCAATTAAAATGGACCACTCCCAGTCTGCCGCCAGCTCCTCGGCTACTTCTGCAATGCTCCTGAGTGACTTGTACACATTCACAAGCGTCGTACGGATGCTGGTCCACCTCTTATGCGCTAATCTGGAGCGGGGCACGTCGGCCAGGCTCTGTCTGAAGACCAGCAACCAGGAGCAAGTACTGGCCGAGTTGAGTGAGGGTTCTTCCAGCGTTCTGCTGAACATCGACTTAAACTTTGGCGACACCTTATACCTGGACACCACTGGCCCTGCATTTGGGGCTCTTCTTAGGATGCATGCCGCCGCTCAACGTCTGGGGGATTGCTTTCTAATCGCCTCGAAGGGGGTTCTGGTGGAAATGCACAATAATTTCGCAAAATAATCTTGCAAATTTCGCATTAATTTCACACTGTGCAGCACACACACATACACCTTTAGCAGGTACCAATACATTGCAAATCAACAAACACCAAATCAAGCAACGAAAAACTAAATAAACCCACACGCAGTGCAGTGCAGTGCAAGGCAATGAAAGTGAAAGTTGAAAGTTCATTTTTGTGCCGCGTATGCATCGATGTGTCATGGAGTTCGTTCCCTGCCCACCTGCCCACAGGGCACACGGATGCACGGCATGTCAGTGTGTCTGTGTTTCCTTCCTACCACGGATAGACATTCATTTCGGTGGGGCAGACATGGCAGCCCAAAACACAACCCCTAACCCGAAGCCCAGCACACCAGAACGCAGAACGCAGGACGCAGGGCACGTGCAGCATTTGCAACTGGCGCTAGTCAAAAGGTTGCTCGGCCAAATTAAGTGTTCCAGCAGTTTGAGGGGCTTCTGGATTATGGGTCACATATCCCCGCCAAGCAGGAGCAGCCCTGCCACTCTGCCACTCTCAGCTTAAACTATTTGGGACTTTAAATTTGTCTGCTGCTGCTGCTGCTGCTGCTCTCTCGCTCACCTGAAGGTGCGGCCTCCAATATACACACACACACACACACCCATGTACGTATACATATGTATGTAGGTGTGCGTATGTGTGCATGTAAATAGCAGCCCAGAAGGTTGAGTTCTGGGCTCTATTTCCACTAGTCTTGGCTAGTTTGAATTTAAGCCGATTTTGCGGTAGTTGCCCCTCATTAAACACACATTTTCCACACCCCCCATACCCACACACACACACACACACACACACACACACACAACACACACACACACACACACACACACACACAGATGAGGCTTGCATAATCACATCATAATCAGGAATAATAAGTGTGGTTTTTCATATACATATTTCCGTTTGTGTGCAAAGTGATTACCACCGCAAAAGTAAACCCCAAAACGAATGCAATTGCAAAACATTCACTATAATTACAGGAATGCATGCCCGCCCATATCAACCACATTAACAATGGCGATTACGCCTTACGCTTACGATAGAGATTATGATTAGGTTCGACTACTAGATAATAATGGTGGTGATGATGATGATGATGATAAGCTCCTTGGCCAATATGGTACGGGCATAGAAAGGCCAATCATTTGGTCCACTAACAAACTGCAACAGAACCCCACAACCCCACACCAGTTATTGTAAATGGTGAGTGTGGCAGCCGCGTGCTGCCCTTTCTACCCTTCACAATTAGTCAATTGAGTGGCATGAGGCTACGTTTATTACGGCCTGTGTGGAAAGGAAACCTATAGAACCTATGGAGTGCATAGCTCTATATTGATAGCTCCATATTGATAGCTCTATGTACATCTTTGTCTGTATCTGTACACTGATAGAAAAAAGGCATAGTAAAAATAACTACAATCATATTTGAATTTAAAATGCCATTTTTAAATACAAACATAGTAAAATTTAATAGAATTCACTTTGATTCAAATATAAATGTATTAAAAATGCTTTTTTAATACGGCCATATTTAATAAATACAAAACATCAAAATAACTATAATATATTAAATTTGTAGTTTAATAGTTAATTTAAATTAATATTATTATGACTTGATTTCAAAATTTTTCTTTTAAAATTCAAAGGAAAACTTTTTATTTTAAATATTCCATATTAAATGGCTAAATATTTTTTGTATTTATTTAACATTTATATATTTTGTATTCCCTCAATCCAACTAGTTCCAGCTGCTGCTGCCTTGAATGCACAGTAAAATTATCTTAGCGCAGGGCTAGTCACAACCAATGCAGTCCTCTCATGTTGCGTTATTTCTAGTTGAAAATTTTAACCAATTCACACCATGAGGACTTAAATGTAATTTGCGTACCAAAATAATAACCAATTAGTTAAAAATTAATATAAATAAAATATGAAACTATTAAATTTAAATATGATTATTTAATATTATTATATATTATTTATTATGTATTATTTATTTATTATTTATTATATATTATTAAATTTAAATATTTCTATATTAATATCAAAATTTAAGTGAAAATTTCAATTTTAATACAACACTCTTGGATGAAAATCATGGCATAACTATTAAATCTAAGTGAAAATATTAAAATTTCAGGCTTTTTTCTATCGGTGTAGATTGTGTTCCTGGTGCCGTGGAGGTGCTGTATGGCCACCCCCTTTCCCAGATGATACGTCAGAAATCTGCACTCACGGCTCATCGGAGCTCGCTTAGGGGTCAGCGAAATTTGATTGAATTTGAAGCGGCTTCTTATGCGGCAACTGTGGTGGGGTGGGGTGGGGGGCACTGACGGCAGGAGTGGGCCACAGAGGCAGGAGGCAGGTTGAATGCTGCAGAGGAAGCTGCCCATTTGGGTTAATCTGAATGCGAATCTGAGGCGAGGTTGTAAAAGTCATTCAGTCAGGAAGCAATAAAATCATTTTACGCCAGTGCCATGAAAATGCTGAATTTGAATAAAGGTTTTTGCGTTGGGGAAGGCAACCAACCGCCAACACGACCATTCCAGTACCAGTGCCAGTACCATCATCGTCATCATCATCATCATCCCTGTGATGATGATCATCATCATCATCAGAGCTTTATTAGGAGGGAATGGTCATGGCATCGATGGCGTCTTGGCTTGGCTTGGCTCTGCTACACATTTGCCTCAAGAAATTTTCTGCTGATGCAGCGTCCGATGCGGCACAGCCACAGCCACAGCCACAGCTGGCGACAGCTGCAGGAGGATATCAGCCCGGGCTCTGGGCAGAACCCAGTCTCCGTCAATTATGCGTGTGTGTGTGTGCCAGGGGAGCTTAGGGGTGTGTGTGTGTGTGTGTGTGTGTGGGTAGTTGGAAAAGCGCGCACTTACGCAAAACGACCTCGGCTAATGCACAACGCATATTGAAGCAATTTTCTCCGGGAATGGTTATCCGTTCGAATGCACCAAGCGGGATCGGATCGGATGGGCCGGGATGGGCTACGACTGCTGCTGCTGCTAGTCCTTCCTCCCACGCACACACATCCTGCCATTTACAGCGTCAACTTTCGGCTTTCAAGCTAAGAAATAGTCCAGCTGCCATTTTCAACATCTTTGCTCACACATCCTTATGCGGGTATGTGTGTGTGTGTCCTGTTCCGCATTTCCGGTCGGCATTTTGCATTGCCCCGCTCTTCGCTCTCCACTCTCCACTCTCGGCTCTCCGCTCTAAGCCCTCCCGCTGCCATTGTTGTCAATTGCATTGCAATGGGCATTACCAAATCCCCCCACATGCACATGCACATCCGCATCCACCTCCTGGCCACGTTCACTCCCACTCCACCTTGCATTGCATCCACCGCACAATGTCTTCGTCATATCGTAGCAACATTTCAAGCCTCCTTCGCCTCAATGTTCCTCCGTGGAATGTTTGGCTTGGCCGGCCAAATGCATTCATTAGGTGGGCATGGCTATTGTGATTGCAGCTGTGCACGAGGCAGGAGCAAGAGCAAGAGGCAGGCAGGAGCGTTTCGGCAGACAGATTGCATAACTGTCATCTGGGCGGATTATTCGATAAGCCGCATATATCAGACATGCATATCCCCAATGCCAACTCAAACAATCCAGTCCAGGGGCCTGCTTCTGGTCCATGGCCGATAATTGAGACTGTCCTCTTGGCTGCTGTGGCTCTCCCCCCAAGTTCTTGACCCTCTTTGTTTCTTGGTCAATTGCTCCCAAGAAGTGAGTGCGAGCTGCTAATAACTCGACCAGTGGGGGAAGTGCCAGTCCCGTGCTGCGTATGAGTAATATTTGCCATGGCAACAGACACAGCACAGCGTATGAGTAATATTTGCTTGGGAAAAGTTTCATTCGACTGGTCAATGGCCGCTCCTTGTGCTGCTCCTTGGGCCAGACTCGTTTGCATGTCGGATAT